AAAAAAAAAACCTAAGTTAAAAAATATTACACATTCCAGTAAAACACTTACAAGTCCAGCAAACCAGTGATCGGCTTCAAATAAAGTTGCTCCTTCGCTCTACCTGGCAGAGTCCAAGCTGCTGTGCCTTCAAGTCTTCTCCTCCATTGCATCTGTTAATGACTGATAAGCATAGGAGGCACAATGGATGGAATGACAAGAACAAGCTGGAATAACACAATCAAAAGCTGTGTCGGTCTCATTTACCTGTTTGCCGCCACGTATCCACCACAGGACAACTCTTGTCTCCGCCCACACTGTAGTACCACTGCCATGCTTCAGTGTTGATTGGCTCACCCACTGCCGGAACACAAGAACTCAATTTTAATGCAGTTAAAAACAGGAGCTGACAATGGTAGACACTGCTGTGTTGTTGTCAACAGTCCCACACTGCAGACTGTATATACATAAGCAGCATCAAAGGTTCAACTGTAAACAACTATTCATAGACAAAGACAACGTGGAGCTTAAAATTCTTTACACAGAATATTACAACAATCTATTTCTATATAAAAAAAGAGCCCGTTAATTTGTTTATAAAGAACTAACAGTATATTTCACAGAAAATCAACAATTGGAGCTCCTCTATCTGGACCATAACTGTTACCACAACGCTACACTTTTAACATACATAGTTTTACTTTTTCTGTTTACACTGCTGAGAACGCTGCACCGCAGCACTAAACTCAAGCTGGCATGTTTACTTACCGACAAAAAAGTTTACCCAACGCACTCGTGTCGGTAAAATGACTAAAAACCACATAAACGCGCTGTGACTTCACGCACACTCGACGACGACGAAATGTTTGTTTGATAAAGGAGATCAACTGTTTCCGGGTTAATTTAAATGCTACGCATGCGCAAACTATCGAGAGGAAATGACGTAAATTTAAAGGTCCCGTATTGTAGATTATCGTTAATGCTGAAAGAAATTTTAGATGTGCGCGGAAAGAAATAAAATAGATAATTGACGACATTACCAAAAAAGCAACAATGTAGTGGTATCAGTTCAGTCAACTCAGAAGAAATAACATTTAACTCGAACGAAAACCAGGCTGTACAATTGAACAAATGAAATTACGTGCAATAACAGAAAATGATATAAAGTTTAATTCTTACTTTTCGGTTTTTCAAACATTTGTGTTTTGTGTTTAAAAGTCCAAAAAGTATTTTATATGATTATATTTTATTTAAAAAATCACCCAAAACATGCCTTACTATAGCCTTACCATACTGAAAAAATCCATAAAAATAAAAAGTCCCCAAAATGCCTTAAAATGCAAGACTATGTCCTAAACCAATGCCTTATTAATGCACCTTATCAGCGCCCGGTTCACCTAATGAGTTTTGATTTTTTCAAATGTTTTATTAAAGGCTTTGTTATTAAGGATTTTTGATTGATGTGAGCGTTTTTCTCAGCAGCGGTGCAGTACGTTCCTCTAATGGTTTGATATTATAAATTAAAGCCTCGGGCCAGGCTCATTAATAGCTCCGTCTAGTCAGCACTGTTGTCATGGACAATCACGTCCCTGGGTGTGATAGCATGATCGTCAAGGTCTTCATCTGTGCCACGTTGACCAAATACAACCAGAAAGATATTTCTGCTTCGTCTCTTCTCTTTTTTTTCTTTAACTGCAGCCAAGTCAGAAAAAAAAGTTGGGCCTAACAATTAAGAAGTCTGACGTCAGCCAACTTACCGGCCATCTGTCACACTGGTGGTCCAGCCTCAGCTGGAAGCTGACTGGTGTGATCCAGTCAGGCCTGGCTGATGCAAAGCCTGCCTGTTCGGTCCCGGCGCTGCGCCGTGCCAGCATCGCTGGCTGTTACAGTCCGGCTCTGCTGATCTCTTTTGGTGTCCGGTTTGTCGGTTTGGCTTTAACGAGGGCAGGTTACTGGGCGCCAGATGGCCCTCGATAAGACCGCTACCCACAAATAGACACACGGAAGAAGCACACACATGCATTCATAATGATTTATAAAAAAAAAAAGGAGCTGCGGTAAATACCAACATATGGTCTGCATCTTTAACACAGGTGCGGAACCATTGACTGGTGGTGTTCACACAGCCGCGGAAATGCTTCCATTCACATTTCGTGCGCATATATCTTAGCTAGCTATATTTGGAAACCCAAGTTAAGATCTAAGACTAAGAGCAGCAACAGCAGGATTAAAGCAACAACAACCCCCCCCCCCCCCGCGTTCATTCACACCTACTAACCAACAAGCCGGTGAGAAACGGCACCTCGCCATCTGCAGGTTATTTAGGTCCTGCGGAGGGAACGGCAACAAAGCAAAGGCGGCAACGCCGTGACGGCGGTCTAATGAGCACGACTATACTTTAAGGACCCGCTCCTAATTTTAGGAGTCACCTGTGAGCCTGCTGAAGGAACAGAGCAGAGACCGAGGTGAGACTCGGGGCAGATTTCATGCCATCTCCTCTGATTTGCGGTCACTGGTGGTCGGTGTGACACGTAGCACGTGACGCGTTTCCATTTTTTTATTGGTCCTATCAAAGAATCAAGTACAACTTGGGCCGACCAAGTTCAGTATGTTCGATCCAATGACTTCAGGAATTCTCAACGCTACGTCGGTGGTTTTCAAACTAGGGGTCGCGGCCCCTCGTAGGGTCACCGGAACTCCCAATAGGGTCGCTTGAAAGTTCACTTAACTGAAAGTAAAATGAACTGCATTTCAAAGGTTACGTCCCATATCCCGTAAATTTCCGCCATACAGAAAATCCTTAGCAAATCGATAGCATTTAAACGAATTTCGCGCAACTAGTTAGCGAGCAGAGCGGAAGATTACGTTGTCACGTGGCGCTATCCGCCCAAGACATCTTTATTTGCATCTGCCGGTTGTATGCCACCCATTAGATTGTACTACATTTCCGAACTTTTTGCCCTTCGTTATGGCTCCTAGGCACAAGTCCGACTCCTCTGATGTTTTTATGCCCTAAATTATGACGTTACCACTGCGTTAGCGTCGGTGATTGACATAAGTACTGATGTTTTTTATACTACATATATATATATCTGAATATCCATGACTGTGTTGAGTGTGTTTTAAAACACCAGGCGTGCTCAAGTACATTAATATCCCGAGGAAGCGGGAAATGTTTGACCAGCGCAGACCCGCTCTAAAACCACTGGTGCAGTATTTCACGGCTATTTTAAGACGCCTATTATAAATGTAGTAGTCGCACGTACGCAGGCAGGTGAAATAATGAGCACAGATTCTGCTTATGTTTGGGCAAAGAAGAAACTGTTTCCTCTGCAAATAAGCGTTGCCTCCGAACTACGCAGGAAACTTCCCGTCACGTGAACACGCGAGGCGAGCGAGCACACGCGCGCGCAAACACATATACACACACACACACACACACTCTGGACTGTTAAAGTGAGCGGCAGATGGCACTCGTGATTAATTCACACTCCATACTGTAGCGGCCATATATGGGCGTACGGCGTTAAATGAGGCGTGACAAAAAGGAAGAAGCAATATGTATCTTTATTATATGCTATGTACAGACTTTACAGTATAATACAGCAACAGTACAGGGGTAATGCTACGCGTTAAGGATCGCGGGGCTTTAAGAGTCAGGCCACGGGTGGTGGAGTACCGACGGTAATGAGTCGTAACGCTGAACGGGAGTTTGACATTAATCTTTGGTTTCGTCGCTGGGAGAACGTCGCGTGGAACGGGGGGAAAAGGTGAAAAGCGTCGAGGCCGACCGAACGACCAGAGCGCGGCGTTTCGGACTTGGATGGAAAATTCCACAATGGAGATAGAGAAATATCATGTGTACTGTGTGTGTGACTCGGGTGCAGGTTGCTACAGAAGTGTTCTCACGTGTTGGCTGGTTGAGGAAGATTGCATCCTAATGCCCCTGCTGGGCTAAGACTCAGCCTCAGCCCTGAATCCTGCAAACACACGAGTCAGTGTCTATGCATACAGGAATAATCTGTGCTCACACGGTACACGGGGAGATAACAGCGCTACCCCCTAATTGGTATCATTTCTCTCAGTCTATTAATTTGCGGTTTACAATTAAGCTAGTCCTCATTTTCCCGCGGTTGTTTGCCGAGAACGAGCCCACCTTCATCCCACCTCCGCCGGATAATACTGAATTATCCATTCTCCTCCCCCGCCCCTCCGCGATACTCCCGCCTCGGTATAACGCACGGAATACTGAGAGAAACTAAGATTGGATGAAAGATAGATGCAGGCGGGAAGAGAGCGGTAAAGAAAGAGGCAGACAGACAGAGAGAGAGAGAGGGGAAGTGACACAGCGAGAGAGGTCGAGAGAGAGAGGGGAGCTGACAGCGAGATGGATGCTGCCGGGTCGTCGAGGTGAGGAGATGGTGTAATGATTAGATCGCAGATACCCTTGAGCCTTCCTCCCGTCCCTACAGCACACAGAAAAATCTGGAAGCCCGCTCTGCGGGGATGAAGGCCCGCAGTTGTAAATGGCCGTGCTGTCAGGGTCCATCTGGACAGAAGAGGGAGTGGATTACCAAAGTCTACACGGAGGGGGGAGGGCGGGGGGGGGGGGGGGGGACCGAACTCTTTCTCTTCCACTTCCGCCAGATGAAGAGGGAACCTTTTCCCTTAATCACAGATTGACATTCGTTCTGTTTAATACGTTTGTGACTCCAAATAATCATCGCTGACATTCACATTTAAATTTAATAATTTTTTTTTTTTTGGTTCCAGATAACTCTGGAGTCATCGGCTTTTAACTGTGCCAGTCCTAATCTGGTGATGTCATGGCCAAACTTAAGTAGGTTGAAGGTGACTGCCCAGCGAGGCCGCCCTATGTTTACGATGCTTCCATCTAGTGGTCACTTCAAGAAACTGGCCATGGAAGGAAGAAAAGAGGAAGAAGACGTTGCTGTGCCACAGGAGGACATTTAACAGACAAATTATGTTTGTTTTTGAGCCACGATTGGAGATGTGATGGGAGGATAAACACGCAGGTAGAATGTTGGTATTTTTTAAATTTATTTTTTTATCAAAAAATCTATCGAATATAGTTACATATATAACAAATTAGGATATTAGGAGGCATGATCAGGAGTTGGTTCGTATTAAAAACCCAAGGAAACTCGAAGCTTGAGCTTCAAAGTCCTTTTGATTCAGGGGCCACGTACAACCTAATCAGATGTCAAGTGGGCCGGACCAGTACAGTCATAACATAATTACCTATAAATACCAATAAGTCCATGTTTTTCCCCCTCTGTCTCCATGCAAAGAAGTACTAGCATATGAAATAAATATCCATATTTAATGAAAAATAATTTTAAAAAAACGTAAGGTGTATTTTCAAAATTCATCAAGCGGCCCGGATCAAACCTCCAAGCGGGCCGGTTTGGGCCCGCGGGCCGTATGTTCGACAGCCCCTGCTCTAGCTATTAAGATATAGCAAAATAGAATATAGAAAAATTCACCGATGCTACCTGATGACATCACATCTCCCCTTTCTGTCCCGTCGACAGGACGGGTGGCTCGTTCTGCGACGCTGACGCCCGCGCTGAGATAAACCCTCGGCCATTGGGCTCCTGTCGACGGCGCCGCCACTGATAAGCGCGGAGGACCGCTAACGGCCAGGGCAACTGAAAACACGAGAGCGCTGCAGATAAAGAACGGTGGAGGTGGAAGGAGGAAAACAGGAACAGCGGCGATCAATTGCTGGCACCGTGCAGCGATACTACGTGACGCCATCCTTCTCTTCCATCTCCTGTACCAGTGTGTGTGTGTGTGTGTGTGTCATGTGATGTCAGGGCGTAGGAGAGGTGGGTGGTTTGGGGTGTGCGGAACTGGGTCATCAAGTCATCAATAACCACCTGCATTGGTGGAACAAACACACAGGCAAGGTCAGAACTGAGGAAAGGAAGCGTACAGCGCAAGTCATCGAACTCCGCTGCCGCGCAGTGGATGAAGGGTTGAATGGATGAGAGGATGAACGGAGGGGGAGGAGGGGGGGGATTTTAATTATCTTCTTTAGACAGATTGGCGATGCAGCCGACTTGGCTGGCAGAAACAGGTGAGAGTCGGCGGGGGGGGGGGGGGGGGGGGGGGACGGAGGTTTTGTTGGCTGGATCCGAGAAAGAGTAAAGGCGGAATAATGGATGACCGAGTCAGAAGGTGTGGGTTTCCGGCCAGTTTTTGGGCTCCTTTCCCGCTGACAGGCAAGCTGCTGGTCAGCAGAGTCACTTAGGCTCACGGAGTCGTTTCCAGGAGTGATCAGGCGTCTTTGCATCTGCCTTTTTTTTTTTTTTTTCTTTCCTTCCCTCTTCTCTCTCACAAAGGCCTCTGGGACGCTGGAAGGCAGCAGCAAAGCTGGCGAGAGAAGCTTCAGCACCGGAGCGGGCGATGGTGCAAACGCTCCCTGTTATGTGCTCAGCGCCCTCGCTCTGCTGCCATTCTTCATTTTTCTTCTTCTTCTTCTTCTTCTTCTACATCTGTCTCGCTGCAACTCCCATGATGCACTTCTCACTCCTCACCCTCTTCTACGTATGTAGATGGGAACCAGCCCACCTGGAAGGGAGAAAAAAGATAAGACGTCAGATTTGGTGACGCATAAATGTTTTCAAATAAATTCGATTTTTTTTTTTTCCCAGCTCAGGCGTAGGCAAACGTTTTGACTCGCTGGCCACAAGGGGTGCTAAAATTTCACAGAGGGGCGCCGGGTCAGGAACAGATGGATGGAGGGATCGTATGAAATAAAACAAATGACAAGAAAAAGTCATAAAGGGCTAAAACGCTAAAAACAAAATGCCGTTCCTACGCCATCTATTGGAGAAATGCAGGCATTGCGGGGAAAAGGCAGAAGTATAACAACAATAGAAATATAATTATATAAATCCAAAACATAATTTGGACAAGTTTGGTGGGCCGGATTAAAAAGCCAAACGGGCCGCATCCGGCCCCCCGGGCCATAGTTTGCCCATGCCTGTTCTACTTAATACATGTAAAGCTGTGGGGTAAATTCATTTCACCTAACGCTCTGACCTCATATACACTCTCCATCCTTCGCTACATGCATGAACGTCTTTTTTGGAAGTTGAAGTTCATGGACTCTTCAACGCACGTGTAAAAAAATCGTCTCCTCGACATTTTTGGTTGTCTCGCAAATTTTAATGTCGCGGAATTTCTGATATTTTTTTTTTTTCCATTTGCGAGTGCTGCCGCCGACTGTATGTAGGTCAGACTGTCATCTCGGGGCTGAGACTGTCGTTCCTCCAACTACACCCGCGTGTCTATGACAGGTTCACCTGACACAGTCAACTGTTCAACCGCCCGTAATGGAATAAAATACATCAGAAGCGTTCTGCGTTTTGGTGTCCTCGACCTTCGGCGTTCCACGATGACGTCGTCATCTCGAAATACATTTACTTAAAAAGTTAGCGCATTAAAATACATCTCGCACAGGAACAGTAAGTTGGCGAGTGGACGAGGATGTCGCTATACGTGGATGACACCTTTGTTTACATTTTTGTTGTTTTTGGGAACTCTTTGCCCTTCATTGTGGCTCCCAGGCTAAAGTCAGACTTTTTGATGTTTTTTATGTCCTCGATTATGATGTTACCACAGCGTAAACGTAAGTGAGTTCTAACTTACGGCGAGAATCGAAAATTCCAAAGTAAGTCGAGGCCCAGACGTTGATATCTTTAGAACATATAATGAAGTCGTCGGTGAGTTTTCCTACCTTATTCATTTCCTAACTCTAAGAATAACCAGACAAATTTATATTCCAAGGAAATATCCGTTCTACAGTAAAGCCCTGCCTTCCACAGCACAAACGCACAAAAACCCGATTTTGATGAAAATGAATTGCGCATTTATGCACAAAAAACCCCATTTTGATGAAAATCTTCTTCTTCTTTTTCTTTCGGCTATCCTGGAATTTAATTTAACTGCGTTGACTGAGACGGACTAAACCCCACTGTTTATCCAGCCGCTTGTTTTTCCCGGCTGACGGGACTCGGGAGACACAAACAGCACTGCGCCGTCTCGACACACAGTCTTTAGTTTTCTCTAGAGCCGCATCAGCGAATGCATCAGAGGAGAGCCTCTTCATTCATCACAGCTGTTCGCAAAACACACTCACAATGAGGATGCATCGCCGAGGGCCCTCGGCACTGACACGTATCGGTTTGTGCAGCCTAACCGGAAATAACCAGAACTTTGAAAACATGAAAATATATTTACTAATATAATCTAAACATACTCGATATATTGGGGGTAGTGATTAAATACATGTAGCTCAATGGCATATTATGATACATTTTTTTTACAGTACTGTATATGGTCACTACTACACACTATAGAATTATATTCATAGATTTTGTTTATTTTAATTTTATTTGCTCGTGATCTATCGGCAATACCGTTGCGATTTACAGGTCGATCAGGATCTATGATCGCAGATTTATCCCGATGTTGTTTCTTCTAGTGTTTGTAGTTAAATCTGTATCAACTTAAGATGTTTCTGAAATCACTACTGGAATACGGATGGTTCCCAAAGTGCGGCGCTGGACCCTGTTGGGGGGCGGAATTATTGCACAAGGGGTCCGCAGGTTAAATTAAAATTTCCCTGAATCTGAATCAACAAAAGGGGGCGCTCTAGGAATGGAAGTGGTTCGAAAAACTTTTAAAAAAACCCTTCTCCAAATATTACAGACTCCTGACAGACAAATTCAAGGGCATTAGGGTTGTCCATATTTCATTAATTTTCTGGAAAGATCAGCTATCACTCACCCTGCCGTTAACCTCGCCCCTCCACCAGCCGTTGGCCCCCGACTTTGTGTAGATCTTCACCACGTCACCCTCCTGGAGCGAGAGCTCCCGGGTGTCCCGCGAGCTGAAGTCGTACCGAGCGATGGCCACGCCGATCACTTTGGGAGTGAGCACTGGAGGAGAAGAAGAGAGAGCGGGTTATTTTATATGTTTTTATAAGTTGGGAAAAACCGGTGAAACACAGCACGACATCAAAGGACAAAGTCAAGAACAATACAACAATGAATACAACAAAGCCATACAATGACAATTAATGTAACGTTACGTAAAGGTGTCGTGACTTTTTTTTCTTTTTCCCCTTCAGTGTTGTTCTGCAGTTTCCTAACATTGACAAAAGTCTCAGACGAGAAGAAGAATATTGTCTGTTTGCTATAAAAGCCCTCCCTCTCCCCCTCTCTGTCTCTCTTTGTCTCTCTGTCTGTCTCTCTCTCTATGTGTGCAGGTGGGCGTTCGTCTGACTATGGGAGACAGCTGTGGCGTGGGTTTGTGAGTTAGCACTGCTCCCCTTGGCCTTGCCATCTTTTTCATCCGCTGACACCGACCGTTGGGTCACACTGGTCTGAGCTCGTATATAATGGAACGTCAGGACCTTTGCTGTCCGACCGCACGGATATCCGCTATCGATAACCGTTGCGTGATCGGACGCGTCCGTCTCTTACTTTGATGGTCAGGCAAGCGAACTCACACATTTGACACACTGATGACTCCGTAAAATCACACACACCGACTGGCGCGCTTGCATGCAAAAATGGTACACATTCATGCAATTTTAAAATAAACAGTCACTGCTCATCACACACGGTGACAGGTGGGCGCTGCGGAAAGACCGCGGAAGACGGTGAGATGGGAGCTGGATGGTGAGATTCAGGCAACGACGTGAAGGCACTGAGCCAGCATGCTAAACAGACTTCAAACATAAAAGTAAGAGGGGAAAAGAAAAACCCCAGTGAGGAAGAGCAAGCAAGAGAGAGAGAGAAGTGATACCTGTACCTGACCAAAAGGGAGCAGAGGAAGGAGGTACAAAGCTGTAGACGGCAGGAGTTACAAAAGACAGGCCGTAGAGCAATGGAGCTATGGCAGGGCACGGTCAGAGGGGGAAGCAGGGAGGTGCAGGGACGGGGAGGCAATGGTTAGAGGGAGAGAATCAAAAGGAGAACAAAAATATTTCAAAAGTCAAAATATGTTTTGAAAAAAAGAAACAAAAACGTAGAAGAACAATATCACAGTTCATTTTGGAAGATAAATAAGAAGAAGCATTAAAAAAAAAAAGAAAAGAAGCACAAATCTTTTTTTAGGATGTTTGCAATGTCCCACAACAGTGTACTCAATTAGCGGGTCACGGGCCACATACGGCCCAGAAAAAACCTGTGACTGGCCGAGTCTGTGGTCATTTAGGCAATGTAAAGACTTGATAGATGTGATGGTTACTTGTTTTTGGTGATATTTTGACATGTTCAGATACGATTGTTTTTTGGAGTTTTTAGCACAGATTATTCACTTGGCAGTATATTTTGGGGCATGCCTTGATTATTGAGGTATTTTGAACGCGTTGAAAGCTTTTGCTATTTTTTGGTATAAAGTTATTTGTGTACAAAACGTTCCAGCGGAGGCTACGCGCTCAATGGAAGCAAGCTTTAAATCATCTACCAGTACAGACAACCAGCAGGTTTCCACACAAATCAGCGCCTTGAGTTTACAAGGAATCCCATGATACCTCTTTTCAAGATAAAAAGCCCTCGTAAAAAGGAACCTTTGGACACTATCACGCAAAAATGTCAGAAAAACCAGATGTAATAAAATAAAGTGATCTTTGTTAGTTTCAATTTACTCACAATTCACCGTCTTAGTGTGAAAACCTGGGCCTGTTTAGTTGAACACAATGCTGATTTACTCTCAGGAATGAAAGAAAGACATACAAACACTACAAAATACAGTCTTTTATAGCCACCTAGTGGAATTACCTAGTATTAAATCTGCCTGTAACTGTCACAGAGACGAAAACAAATTATTAGCAGTAAATGAGTTAACACTTAACACAGTTAATACGACTTATGCTAATACTAACAAGGCATCAATGATATTGAAAATCACTGAAATCTGACAACATTAAAACACATTCATAGACTTGAATTATTAATCAGGGAGAGAATCAGGGAGAGAAATTCTTAAGCCTAAAGGACAAAACTGCTGCCGAATGTTAATGAAATAGAAACCTTTAGGCAGAATTCCACTACATATAGCTAATTCTAGGACGTAGTACAGCCTCAACAGCTGCATGCAAAATACTACATGGGACGCTGAAAGGCCAAGAAGTCCGAAACTTAGAACTATCTGGCGATCTAATTGGTTAAAACACAAAGGTTCAAGTGCAAATTTAAGTTGAGTCACTGAATTTTTAAAGGTATTCCAGCTCTTCAGGAAATGAAGTTTGAAGTTTAAATCCCATTGAAAAGCACCTCTGCTCGCCCCCGTGCAGCAGCCATTCATTTCATTCACACATTTTAGCTGGGAGAGAGAAATAAAAAATTGAATTCCCACAGAGGCAGATAAATGCCTGAACTTTTTGAAAAATGTGCAGCTCGAAACAATCCACTTGGCACGTTACCAGAGCTGGGTAATTGATATGCAGTAAGACAAGCAGAGCCGGGGTGAATTTTAAAACGAATACCAATCAGTGGGCCGAGGGCTAATGGTGGCCTTGTATGGGAAACATAAAGAGGGAACACTAAGAACAGCCACCGTAAGAGCAGCTACATAAATGTAATTGGTGGATCAGGGTTACAGCATTATTTTACATCCAACTAAGAAATAAAATTAAAAAATTTTTTTGTATTAAATAAAAATATTTATATTTTTAAAAATAAAATAAAAATAATAAAATAAAAAATAAAAATAATAAAATAATAAAATAAAAAATAAAAATAATAAAATAAAAAATAAAAATAATAAAATAAATATAATAAAATAAAAAATAAAAAATAAAATAAAATAAATAATAAAAAATAAAAAAACTATTGTATTTGGTGTTTCGATTAACCTAAATTTAAACATTTGGTGTCACTTTCCAAAACCCAAAACAAAGGCCGCACATTAATTAGCAGCCTTCCTGCAGAGCCGGAGGAGAATGAAAATCAAGAAAAAAAAAAGCAGTTTTTTTTTTTAAAAAAAGAAAAAGGGGGAAAATGAAGTCTGCACACTGGGAGGAGGCTGCCCACAGGACTGAGCGCACACTCACACGCACACAAAAGAAGAAGAAGGAAAAAAAACAAAACAGATTTGGACTGGCACTGTCTCAACTTGTGTGGGGAAGCAAAATTTTGAACAACATGCCTCCTCTGAAACAACAACACATCTCTGTACAATCTGTTCGTTCTTCTCCTGCCTGGAACACGATCATCAGCAAGTCTGGACTTTTTTTTTTCTTTTTTTTTCTTTTTTCTTCCTGTCGGCTCTCACAGTGGCATACCGGGTTCAAATGACAACACGTCGTGCCTCTGATTTTTGAACAGTCTCACTTTCCAGTAATAATCGAATAGAAAGCTGTGGTTTGACTCCTAATTCCTCTGCCATCATTTAAAAAACAAAACAGATTTTTTAGGCGAAGAACACTGTGAGCCTCACGTCTGCAGGCATCAAACAATGAATTTTTTTTTTTTTTTTTTTTTTAAACTTACAGCTGTCTCCATTAGCTACCCCTTAAATAAACTATAGCTTAGTTCCAGAAGTTTGACAGTACTGTTGTGCGCCGCTTCTTCATTAAGCTCGCGCCTCACACCTGTTCAATTAAAAGGGACTGGACGCAGTGTTCCTGTTCTCTTATTTAGCGGCGATAAACGCGTCTGACACCTGATTGTCGAGAGGAGCCAGGTTCGCTGAGGTAATCGCTGACAAATTCACAGAGATAAGAGGGAACAACAGCTGCATGTGTAAGTATGCGTCAGTGTTTGGAAGCTACAAAGACAAACTGAAGTTCTGCTCGTCACAAAGTGTTGGTAACAACAGCTGCTTGTGTTCAAGTGTGGGAGCTCAATCTCTCACAGGTTAAAAAAAAAAAAAAAACAGGAAAGTTTTGGGAAACTTTGCACGGCCGTGCCTCCGTACAATGCAGCTGGAAAGCAAAATGTGAAATTTTTCCACGGCTATCTGGTGACTGAAGAAAAGGGAAATTCGTAGCATAGAGTCAATTAGCGCACTGCGAATATGCTTTTTGAGTCGCACCAGCCAGCTAGAGCGCCCTCTAGCGGCTGCCAGTGTGAAAACAACAAACGTAAATTCTCAGTGGTACAGGAGTGGCCGATACTGGTACACAAGCTTAGAGCGCCCTCTGGTGGCTGTCAGTGTGAAAATAACAAATGTGAAATTATATATTTTAATATAGTCGAATCAGGGGGTAGTCACAAACAAGCCAAGGGCGACTTATATTCCGGAAAATACGGTAATTATGATGCATTTCAAAAATGCAAACATATTTAATTCCTTTTAATTGCTTATAGTTTTTTTTTAAACTAAACAAATTGATGCCTTTAACAAACAATAAAAATACTGAAACAAACGTGACTAAAAATGTGTTATAAGGGACATTTTCCAAGGTTCCACGAGGTGATTATATTTCAATTTCTCTAAATTTAGGGGTTAAGTTAGGCAATGCTAAATACACATTTTATTGAACGGTATACATTTGGTAAGGCTAGCACTACAGCGTTAATGAATAAAACAGTACAATTTTGTAAGGCTGTCAAATTTTTAAAAAAGTTTTATGCCGATTAATGGCAAGATTGCTGTGGAATAATCACGATTAATCGTGACTGTAATCAATCAGGCATCTGAGAGCTGATATGGTATTTAAAGCTCTGAGTGCTTAAAAAAAACTTTCCTGCAGGGTGTTCAAATAACATGTGTATCGACTGTGTGTTATAGAAATGGTGAAAAAAAAGAAAAAAAAAGTGGATATTATTCATATTCTAAATAATCACAAATTAATTACTACGTGAATGTGTTTGTGTGAGGGGCCTTATGGCCGTACGGGAGTCGCTTGCCAGACAGCAAACACCCCTCAACAGAGTTATCACATCCAATAACACACTTGGCGGGGTTTTCCAACCAGTGTTTGACGGTAAGTTGAAAACAATTAATATCAAGCCATTTAAACACAGCACTCAAGAGGAGGAAAAAAAAACAAAAATGGTCCCCAGTGGTTTACAGCGGAGTTGAGGAAAAGCGCGCAGATGGCGCCTGCATTTTGAGCCGAACTGGCAATAGAACAGGTAAGAGGTGTGGATGATAATGAACGATCAACTAACACTGATTAGGGGGGAGGAAATAAATACGTGATCCACTTGTCATGTCAGGTGTCAAAACAATGGGGGGGGAAATAAATACGTGATCTACTTGTCATGTCAGGTGTCAAAACAATGAATACGAGAAAGATTTACTCGAAAAAAATCGAATCAAAGGTTTGATTTTTTCAGGTTTTCAGCTGATATTAATCGAGTTGATGTGATATTTTTTCGTTGACCATAAAGTAATAGAGTTTCTGAGGGTTTGAATGTTAATAGAAAATTACAGATAACTAACAAGAAACGATTTCTTAATTTGACCTATGTTGCTAACAGATCTCATAGAGTGACTCCAACATTATTATCATAAGGGATGGCTTGATACAACTTCTTCACGTCCAATATCGATGCTGCAACTCGATGTATCTGCCAATACCCATATCATTCCGATACTTTCTTAAGTTGCGCAAATGGGCTAGGTATTAGAGCGGGCTCGCTGTAGTTGTTGTTTTTTTTTTTTTTTCGATGTTCCATCCTAAAATTTTGACCAATATCGTACCAATATCAATCCTGAGTACTGGATCAAGCCATCCCTGATTACCATGTACTGCATATGTGTCAAACTCAAGGCCCGGGGGCCAAATGCGGCCCACCAAGCCGTTCTGTGTGGCCCGCGGGAGCTTAAAAAGCATTTAGTAAAGTCCATGCAGCAGAGTATAACCTTTAAAATTAAAAAAGTTTTTTTTATCACACAGCAATGAACAATATTTGTAGCTTGGATAAATAATAATCAATTGCAGAAACATGTATTAGTCTGGTATGGAGTAGTTACAGCTATACCAGTGGTCCCGAACCTTTTTGGTTCCAAGGACTCGTCGGTCAGTACCACCCGTTACTAAAGACCAGTAGCAAGGTGCTGAGCATTGAAGGGTCATTACGTTTTCAAAATAAAACATCCTTTAGACTCTATTCTGTTTGTATCCAAATCTGAATGACGTATTATATCATAATATTATTATTGAATGAAATAAATTAGTAAAACTTAGGTAAATTTTTTATCACTGTGTCCCGGTACCAAATGACCTATGGACTCGTACTGGTCCGCGAACCAGGGGTTGAGGTGATCTGATTTATACATTCTTCCATGTACAACCGGCCCTTCAAGGGGAACTCTATTGCTGATGTGGCCCCTGGTGAAAATGAGTTTGACACCCCTGATGTACTGCATATGTGACTGATTGGTTTCATTCCTTAAAAAAAACAAACAAACAAAAACCAAACCAACAACTCACTGTTCCCTCCTGTCCTAATTACCATGTACTGCATATGTGTCAAACTCAAGGCCCGGGGGCCAAATGCGGCCCACCAAGCCGTTCTGTGTGGCCCGCGGGAGCTTAAAAAGCATTTAGTAAAGTCCATGCAGCAGAGTATAACCTTTAAAATTAAAAAAGTTTTTTTTATCACACAGCAATGAACAATATTTGTAGCTTGGATAAATAATAATCAATTGCAGAAACATGTATTAGTCTGGTATGGAGTAGTTACAGCTATACCAGTGGTCCCGAACCTTTTTGGTTCCAAGGACTCGTCGGTCAGTACCACCCGTTACTAAAGACCAGTAGCAAGGTGCTGAGCATTGAAGGATCATTACATTTTCAAAATAAAACATCCTTTAGACTCTATTCTGTTTGTATCCAAATCTGAATGACGTATTATATCATAATATTATTATTGAATGAAATAAATTAGTAAAACTTAGGTAAATTTTTTATCACTGTGTCCCGGTACCAAATGACCTATGGACTCGTACTGGTCCGCGAACCAGGGGTTGAGGTGATCTGATTTATACATTCTTCCATGTACAACCGGCCCTTCAAGGGGAACTCTATTGCTGATGTGGCCCCTGGTGAAAATGAGTTTGACACCCCTGATGTACTGCATATGTGACTGATTGGTTTCATTCCTTAAAAAAAACAAACAAACAAAAACCAAACCAACAACTCACTGTTCCCTCCTGTCCGGTTTAGGCGAGCAGCGTTCTCTGGTTCCCGGTACGGAAACTGCAGCGTGGTATCCAGACTTCGGAATCCTTCTCTCAGAGAGTGGTGTTTGTAGTATTCAATTAGTTCCTGCGTGAACACACATACTTATTTTACGTACTAACACATGTATTTTAATTTAAGAAACTACTAAAATAGTCAACACATCTGTAATCATGGCTATTTTTGTGAACCCAGCTCAAATCAAATTTAGGGCTTTGACACCATATTAAGTGAACGCAATGATTTATTTATGAACTGCAGGGGTGGAAGTTGAAAAAAAAAACAAAAAGAAAAATAGAAAAAAACAAACAAAACAAAAAATACAAACAGGGTAGAGAGAAAGGGGGGAAAAAAAAAAAAAAGAAAACTCACTAATATGCTCCTGAACTTCTTGTTCTCCGCAATGTAGAAGCAGCCCTCCTTGGCCAGGATCTTTATGTGCTTCACGTCGTTGTTGTACCTGCGAAAGCATTGAATAAGTTATGAGTGTAATTTCCCCTCCCTGATCACCGCCATCGATCGGTGACAGGGCCCCACCGGCTCCTGGCTCCCACGGAGAGCGCAACGGTTGGGTGTAATGCATAAGGCCCCACAGGGTTTTTTTTTTTTTTTCGGACACATGAATGATGCATTGTCAGTGTGTGCGAATGCCTCCACACTTATGTTTGCTTTAAAGGGCGAGGGAGAAGAGCAGAAAACTCAGCGTGGGCCACTTTCACGGTTAGAAGGGCGGATTGTAACTGTAAATTATTATCGTTTATGATGAGGGTAAAATGCATCCAATTATGCTGTCACTCGTAATTAAGCCGTCATCAACAACCACTAATAATGTATAGTATGCTCTATATGTACGTATCCAATTAAAACGTTTCAGCGAGTTCGGCAGTAACGATCACCAAAGACTTCTGAGGACACCTTTAAAGACACCTTGCATATACAGTCTCGGTGATTTTCCTTTACTTTCAGTTGACAATTGAGAGCAACATTCCTGAATGTGGGCTCATTTTCTACGACTAAGATGTTGTCAAGATGTCAGGTTAATAAGGTTAAGGGTTGAGGTTTCTTAATTTGCCTCCCATCGGAAGTTTGCACACAATACACAATAAATACATACACACAACAAGCGCCTAAAACCCCTGGTCCGGGGACCATTTCTGGCCCACAATTTCCCCACATTTGGCCCTTGACTACATGCCAATAGTTACTTAATTTTGCTCTTGAAGTAGTTATTTAAAAATATATATATTTTTTTTTTACATTTAAAATTGCAGTTAATTTGTGTAGATAATTGGTATTTATTTACTGTTGTTTGTTTATGCCACAGTGGCAGAATTACTAAATTATCCTCCATAAGGTAGCAGCAGAAAAAAGGCCTCTACTGTAACTCTGTGTCTTTCTTCAATTCCTGCCAGTATATCAGTGTTGTGTTCAACAAAACTGGCTCAGGTTTTTAGAAAGTAAATTGAAGAAAATTGAAGGTGGGAGATCATTATATTTTCTTACACACTGTACACTTTTCTGACATTTGTGCAAAGTGGAATGCCACGGGACCTTTGTACTCTCAAATATATTCTCTATAATATATTTTACTCTACTCTTTGATACCAACAAGTGCAGTATGGTTTGTATTAAAAAAAAACCTTTCGCAATTGAACATGCTTCCATTTAGCCAAACATTTATTTACTTAATAATTTTCTATAATATATTTTACTGTACTCTTTGATACCAACAAGTGCAGTTTGGTTTGTATTAAAAAAAACCTTTCGCAATTGAACATTGGCTTCAATTTAGCCAAACATTTATTTACTTAATAACAAGTGTTTTTGTTCCTAATCCGAGTGATGACGCTACAATTTCGTTTTTTTTTTTCCTTCTTTCCTACATTTACTACAGTGTGTGGCCACAGCTGCCCTGGAAGCCGCCTCCAATTTGTACAGAACGTGGGTCTCTTGGCTATTTGAACACAATCCTCAAAGCTCCTCTGCCAAGAGGCAGGAGCCGTATGTGAGAGGACATTTCCTTTGTGAGTAACACTCTTTGAATGTTTTTTTTTCCCCAAAGCTAGAAAGGCTTCTTTCTTCTCTCACTCCTAGGGAGGTTTTAAACACACTTTCTGTCCAGGCTGAAAATAAAACTGTTTAAAGCAGCGTTTCTGCTGCCTGTGGAGGGAATGTCTTCCAGCACCTTTTTCGCCCTCTGTCTTTATAACGACAAATATTTATATCAAGTACAGAGTCGTGTTACGTCGGCGGTAAAGGACGCTTGACGAGTTCCTCGTTACCACCATTGATGTGGTTGGTCTGAGGTCGGACCGGAGCTGGTCTCCTGCACAAACACACTCCGATCACTGTGGTTAACCGCGGACTCGGCCTCGGAGGGAAAGCACATCATCATCCTGCAAATGAACTATGACTGGCTCAGTCCAGTACTTCAGTATATCTGGGATTTACATCCAGTCAATACTGTGGTTTAGCTGTACTCTGAAGGATTAGAGCAAAAGAAAAAAAAGATTGATTCCTCTCTGCGAGGACCTACATAAAGGTATCTATAATGGTAACAATTGGTATGTGATATATTTAAAATGTAAAGGTTTCTTCAACTTTGCTACACGGAAGCTCTGGAGGAATATGGTGGTACGTTTGACTGCGGGGATGCTGCCCTCTGCTGTTAATTTCCCTCTATGTTTAGATTTTTTTTTAACGTCTCTTTTGGACAATTCCTTAAATACATCACCCCCTGTAGATTTACAAACACAACACAAAAAGACAGGATACTTTATCCTAAATTATTCAACTTTTTTTTTTAGTACTCAAACATTCTTTTCTGTCACTGAGAAAAAGCCAGAAGTTGACTTACTTTATGCTAATGGCGTACTCCGTGTACTCCCTGCTGCGATGGCGGACCAAATATGTGCTGTTGACTCGGTTGATGAGCTCCGCTTCTGCCTGGAGCCGCTCCATGGGACCCGCAAACCTGCAGCCCAGCGAACAAAAGCATTTTTTTGTCAGAACATGGCTAAAAACCTTTAGTGTAATAAATAAAAATATTTGCAAAACTGCTTAGAACCACAATCACTAATTTACAAACGTTGTATACTTTCTAACAGGGATGTCCGATAATATCGGCTAACCGATATGTGCCTCAATATTTGCAAAATTATTTACTATCTGTAAGAATCGTTTTTTTTCCTTCCGATAATGAAAACGCGATTACGTAATGCTTGGGTTTTGCCAAATATGCTGGAATCGCTCGTGGGGCGCTGGGATGTTTACCGCAGTTTTGGGAGGAAATCGGCTTCCGGTTGATATCTTTTTTTTAATCTAATATCGGCAAAAAGTTAAAATCGGACATCCCTACTTTTTAACCTTTGTACTAAAGCGCCAATGGTCAAAGGACAAAGGGATCGTACCAAGGTTGAGAGGAGTAATCCACAGGTTTCGGGACCTGCACAGAAAAAAAGAAAAAAGAAGAAAAGAAAATCAAGTCACATGCCACGCTGTTTTTGTTGTTTTCAAGACACGATCGCTCGTCTGACATCAACATTACTCCAACATCACGGTGTACTTGTCCTCAGTACTGCAGACCAGTAAACAGGTGCCTTCACACTATACGACCTCAATAAAAGTCGTCTTATCTTTATGACGTGCAGTCGTTTCTTATCAGTGGTCCCATATTTACAGAGCAGCTGGACAGACTCTGGGCTTTGTGTTATCAAATACAACACTGACACGGCAGACTTGCTCCATACCTGGAATGTAAAGTCAGTTCATACTATCTCCTGCGCTCTTAGGTGTAGTACGTATTTCCCTGTTCTTCAACAGATATGCTTTTGCTGTTGTTGTTGTTTTGGTTTTTTTTTTATTTCTAAAGTGAACTGAAGAATAAAACCACTTTATCTTTTAAAACCAGCCAAGTCGCTGGCAGTCAGAACTTTAAAAACCTCTAGGCTGTTTTTTCTCCTCCTTGCCAAGGCGATCATTACCACATCACTAGCGAATACGTGTGGGCCCCTTGCAGGGCTCGAGGGAAGGGGCTACGGAGGAAATTCTGCTTACACACGGGCAAGGCTTCACTGCATTGCTTGGGAAGTAGCCAACTTCTTTCGTCGACAGGATTTTGCCCTGAAACCACAGAGATAATTGTGTTACGCACACTTGGCTGAGCGGCTGCATAATTCAAAAACAATTACTCGGCAACACAGAGCAGTGCAAAGGTACAGTCCTAGTTAGACCGCGGCTGTAATAAATACTGGCAGGAAGAGAGTTGGAGTTCCTTATTCCTTCCGTGGCGAAGCCCAGCACCTGTTTTTTTTTTTAAAAGTCAATCCATAAAAAATTGGGGTTTTCTGGAGGTCACGGTGGAGTTTTCTCGCTCCCCGCGACTGAGACTCTCACACTGTGTGACCTGCTGCTTTAAGTCTGTGTACCGACTAAATGTTTGATTTATACAGAATATGAATTCAATCATAGATGAAACAGCGGGCGTCTTGGTTATAAATAGAGTTTTGACCCTCCTGAAATTTGAATGGTTATGATATGTAATTAATATCTTGAGGGCGTCAAAAAAATGGCATTCAATTTTTAAAATTTGTCTTGGCACTGCTACGGGTCAGAAATACTAATAAATGTAAAAGTGTTTTTTTTCTTCACTATAGTAAGAGGAGTAGATTTTTTAAATCTATACTTTTATAACATTAAAATGATAATTTTAAGAAATTCAATTCTGTTTTTTTTATATGAAGCATCTCTTTTTTAATGTTTTTTTTCACAGGCCAATAAAAAATATATATATTTATATATATGTGCTATAACATATAGCGCATATACTGCTAATACTACAAACCCTGCCAGTATACAAAGGCTATATACTGTTGGGCCATCTCTAGTATATATTTGATATAATCTCGCGGGCCAAATATTATTATATTATGGGCCAGATTTGGCCAGCCATAGTTTGACATTTATGTGGAGAAAAAGTAGGTAAATAAATAATAATAATAATAATAATAATTGTTTTTCAGCACGACCAATCGTGATCCAAATGGGTTCGGGACCAACGTCTGCAGCATGTGAGTTAAAGGTAATGTTTTTGTCATTATTACGAAGAAATATTTAAAGACATAGCAGTCAGTTTTAAAGCTGTGTGCTGTTAGAATCTAAAATCTTTTTGTATCTGCGGTCCCCTCTGACAACTTTTCAGCGGTCCGCTACGTTGGGATTCTCGCTGCTTCGGGTCTCGTTCTCAATAGAAAGTTGCGCTCCGTGTGCTGCATCCTTGCCTGATAATGATTACAACTGCCGAGGATAACAAAGTGAACAGATGGCTGCTGTTGAATGAAATAAAATGATCGCGATCGATTCCATTTGTCACGCGCACCCCCCCCAACACAAATGATCGCGCTCCGCTGGCTACAAAAGGAGATGGATATTGAATGTTTGCTGACTCCAGGGCTGAGGCTGCTTAGAGTTTAGCTTAGGGGTTTTTATCCGCATTAAGGGGGATGGGTCATGTCAATCTAATCAACCGAATACTATTATCAATTAATCGAGATGAGTCAATTCATCGTTTGGTATTAAAAATGCTGAATATTTTTTATTGGTTTTCAACAGACCACAAAGTCAAAACGAGACCTGGGAAAAGTACGGCTCGTGGGCCAGATATGGTCCGCTGGGCTTAGTTTTTTGGGCCCGCCGAATACTAGTACACGGTATGGTAAAGACAATACTAGTCTACTAGGGTTACAACAATTAGACTGTAATTTTTGTTGATGCCACTAAATGGCTGTAATGTTTAATATAATAATATAATTTAGAAACATTCCTAAGTTTGCTGATGACAACAGTCGGAATGTCTGGGAATCTCTTTTCCACGTCAACGCACAAAATTCCTGTGCGCTGCCTACATTTAAATACTTAACAGATGGCATTTCTGACACAGGGTTCAATCAATGGGAGTGAAATCAATGCAATAAAATATCCACTACGGCGAATGACTAATGTGACCTTGACGGGCCAACGTCTACGAGTTCTCCTCAAACGTGATTGGCGGAGCTGAAAAGCGACGGCGTCGGGCTTCACATCCTCAGTCCCATAGGTTCTGCATAATGGGCTTTAAATACAGCGGATGTAATTGTAAGGTTGTAAAACGTGTGAAGAACAGAAGGGATGACATGTCAAATTTCCCTCAGGGAACTTTCTTAAGGGATTAATAAAGTTTCCACAAAATCCAATCTCTCACCTGCCACCAGGGGCTGTGAAGGTCAGCACAGATCAGCTCAATGACGTCACCCGTCTGGATGCTGAGTGGAGGACCAGCCGTGGGGCTGGGGACACCGAAGTAGCTTCTGATCGCCAGCATTTTGGGTAAACCTGCGGGAATAACGGCGCAATGTTTAAAGGTGGATTGCAAAGGGTTTTTTTTTTTTTTTTTTTTGCAATTAAACTATGGAACCATATGTATAAATAAGACATTTTAAAGGAAGTAATGAGGAAGTAATGGCTTTTCGTGAAGTTTTTCAATCGGAGGTTTAGGACAGAAAATGAGAGCAATTGCAATTTTTGACACTTTTTTGGATCCAAACAACTAGGAAAGAAACAAGATTTTTTTTCTTCTAGTTTTTCTAATTTTTTTTGTGTTCCTCCTCCTGTTCAGTTGCCCTCACGGGTAGTTTATTAAAGTAGCTCAACAAAGTCAGCAGTTCGAAGTTTGATTTTAACACCGGGGAGAAAGACAGGAGAAGGAGACGGTTGTCGCAACTGAGGCAACTTACAGTTCACCTGAATGCACTAGCAGTAGCACCGAATATGCTAATATCGCTTCACAGTTTAACGACGACACATTGTGCAAGTCGCTTTTCTGTAGAGATGTATTTAACATGGAAATGCGACAAGGCCTACTTTTTTTTTTGTTGTTGTTGTTGTTAACTGCAATTGAAGCTCTGCTCACTTTCTGGCCAGTTTGCATGCGTTTACAATGCAGAACATTTTTTTTTATATCTTTTAATATTTGTATTTATTTTCCTTATCGTTTTTTTTATTGATGTATTGTCTTAGCGTGTCCACAGTGTAATTTAGAAAATATTTTGGCTTAATTAAGCGCCATTCGTTTCCTCTTGGACTGAAGTAGCTTTCTATTTATGAGAAGAAATTAAACCGTCAGACAACTTCCTGCCGGGCGTCCTCATTCGGGTTGTGCTCATACTGTAAACACACTGCACGAAATTTCCCACTCAGCCTTTTTGTCACCTGTGCAACACGGACCAGTCGTAGCATAGCATATTGGTTGAAACCCAAAGTAAAGGAGTATACGTGACGTTTCTCATGCAAAACCGCATGCCTATCACCAGCAAGTATTTGAGTACTTTATTGTCATTATGGGTGGATTGCATATATGCACACACATATCCACCCATTATTAATTGCTATGCTACAGATAGCACTGTAAGGTAAGGTTGGCTATCAGACTCCCAGATAAAAGATAAGCAGGAACACGTTTCAGTTTTAGCCCAGTTCACTCCTAGTTCAGTCAGCTTTATGACCGCAACCTGCACTGTGAAGTATTACGTGCGCGGTATTTATCAGCATAAACTTCCACAAAGGGAAATGTTTTCTAGACTAAATGCAACGCATGACTGCATATCCCCAGGCTGAATTTGCACACTCCTGCTCCAAAGGTGAGATGCAGACTGCATTCTCGCAGGAAGTACTTTTAATCAAGCCGAACCTGTTTGCTGGAGTGGCCTCAATCTGCACATTTGGACTCTTTAACATTCTGTTCTCTAACCAAGCTTTAAAATGAAATTTAGCTGAACTTCTCTCTCGCGGGGATCGTCGTAAACACGGAGGTCAACGAAATGAGTTGCGCATTAAAATGGTCACATCGCGGTGCGGGGCATTAGGATGAAAGGAGAAAAAAAATATATAAATCCAAATGGGGGTTGAAAGAAAAGTGGAGCTTAAGGGGAAGTAACAGAGCACTTAAAAAAAACAAAAAAAAAAAAGCTAAGACAGTGGTTTGTGACATGTGCTAGCTTGTTGTTGAACAGAGCTTCTGAAGGCACGGGGGGTGGGGGGGGCGTGAAGAATCTAAGCCTGCGAGCACGGATTGCATTATCGTGCGCACAAGGGCAAGCCATGTGTAAATGCACCTTTGAAAACAGACAAAGAGGAAGAAGCGTTGAAATATTACGAAACGCCCAGAGCAGGGGGCAATCAAACGCCTATTGATTTGAATGCATCTTCAGTCAGAAATGATTTTCTGCAGCGTAATGGATGGAGGTGTGGAAAAATGAGTTCTGAGGGCAGCTTTATGAGAGATTAAATGCTCCCCAAACGCACAGAGAGAGAGAAAGAGAGAGTGAGTAGGAGAAGCAGGAAAGCTCTGCGGTTAACTGTACTCATCCACGAACTTGGTGATGATGTGAAAAAAAGTGCAAATCAAAGTGACAAACATGAGCCTTTCACAGTCCTCGGTCTCAGGTGCGCCGGTCCAGTTAATAGCTAACAAGTTGTTTTGGTTTTTTTTCTCTCAGTCTCGGCAAGGTTACCCGAGATTCCAGACAGCTTAGTCAAAAAAAAAAAAAACCAAGTCGATACGAACTGCACTGTTGTCTCGTTTCAATGCATATGCGACGGAAAGTGGGATGCAATGTGAAAATATGACATTTTGTAAAATGGCATCAACAAGTCACTGTTGTTTTTCTTTTCTTTTGTGTTTCTGTGTGTATGCACACCGAGCAACCTTCATTCCTTTAAATGGGTGAATGACATTTGTATTGGGTTTTTTTTTTTTTTCTTTTGAAAAGGTCTGATTTGTCTGAGTCTCATCATCTAAATCAGTGGCTCTCAAACTTTTTCATACTCTGTACCACCTGAGAAAACATGATGACCAACATTAGAATATAGCAGCACAGGCCTTCACTATTTCACTGTTTAAATGTTGTATTAATTGTACGTTTCAGATTCATTCAATTGAAAATGTAAATGTGAAAATATGAATTTTCCTGTTGTACCACTAGAGAGCACTCTAGAGAATGCATACCACAGTTTGAGACATTGTTTACCAAAGACTGGGTGGCAAGAGATTTTTTTTTGGGGGGGCGGGGGGTCGTCTCGCATCATGTAACACAGAACTTTACGAATAATGTCTATTGACTTGGGTGGCGAAGGTTTGTGACTTTTAAAATACGAGTTCCCAAAAAAAAAGTTTGGGAAACGCTGATCTAAATTACTCCGTGTAAAAAAAAAAAAAAACTAGGTCTCACCTGTATCTCGATCTTTGCCCTGAAACAACAAGAAACAAACAAACAAGAAAAGAAAAAAAGTGACACGTTAGAGGAAAGGAAAAGCATCATCAAACGTTGACATACTGTTTTTTCACATGCAAAAAAAAAAAAAATTGCTACATCTTCAAACACGAATAAACAAACAAACAGAACATTTTGAACACCAGATTCTGCAGGAAAAACAGCTGACTTCCAAAAGTTGTAACGCTGTCGATGGAGGTCAGTGGATCAAAGGTGTGGTAAAGTTTCGGGTTCTCTTATATTTCGACAAGATAAATGCATTTTAATGCACACAAATGGGTTTTTATTTACTGAGGTTTATCCAACGGTACTATAGCGGTAAGTCTCCAGGAGTGCAGCGAAATCAGCGCACTTTCACAAACCGCAGAGACAAACTCATTGTAAATCTGCGAAAAGCACTCATTTCTGGCATCAGGTGGGATGCAGTCGGAGTACGGAGTCTCCTTGGTAAATAGCTGCAGGAGAGAACAGTTTTCAAAGTGCTGCAAAGCTTGGGGGAAGAGGGGAGGAGGAGGAGGAGAGGCAAACAGAAGACCTAGACAGACAGAGTACACATCAACAAACCGACACACACATATATACACACACACAAACACTCGAAGCTCACCTGAGTTCTGACGGAGCCGGGATCTGAAAGAAGTTTGAGAACAGGCATGGTGAATGGCAGGTTAGTAGTGGGTGCTGCACGCAAACACTTCGGCACAAACTCGTCGGCACCAAGGCAACACTCCCTCATTAGTAAAGACGGTGGACGCTCGCGTCTGACCGCGGCTCACTTTGTTTTTTTGCTACGCTGCCACTGCCTGACAGCGGGAGTGGAGGAGGTAACGAGGCAAAGAGGTGGAGAGAGAAGGGAGGGGTGAGGGGGGGGGCAGACCTCGGCAGTTTTTGCTTCAACAGTTTCTTTCATTGGCTCCCTGAGGGACGAGTTAACCCCCCCCCCCCCCGACCCCCCCCCCCCCCCCCCCCGCGGCGTCCAAAACCCAAACCTGTGACGCCGCAGGAAGCCCGCGCAGAGCCAAGTCTCCGGTTACCATAACAACCGTCTCCAGGACCAGGAGTCCAGAGAGCTGCGGTGGCCCTGGTTCTGCCGGTGTCCGGTCTCCAGTCTCCATCATCACCGTCAGCGCCGCACCTGTGGCCGACGCCTGCGCATCGCCTGAGCCTCACGACAGGACCGGCCCAGAGAAGACACCTGGACCTCCGGCGTCTCAGAGGTTCTGCTCCAACAGCAGCAACATCATCACCACCGAGGACAACAGGATCCACATCCACCTGGGCCCGCGCTTCAAAGGCTCCTCCGACGGACGCCGCGGCTCCGTGGTCACCATCAAACCGCGCACCCTGCCGCGGTCCCCGCCCCA